ATCCATAAAATAACTCGTCTGGTTTCTTGGCAAAAAAAACATTTGTGCCGTAGGATAAACAAAATCATAATTGCCTTCTCCAATACTGTCATTGTTCAAGGGACAAGGGGAAGGGGAAAAAATTATCCATTTTGCAGAGAGAGTGTTCATACTCTTGCTATGGTTATTTTAACCAAGGCTGTGATTGGTTGATTTAAACTAGAACTTTAAATGTGATTAGCTTATTAAACTGTCCAATAACAAGTTAAACTGTCCGATAACAACTTGGCAAAGCAAATTAGTGGAAAATAGGAGTTTTTCAACCAATCACAACTGAGGAAATTGTAATTTTTATAATTAACGTGGAATTCCCTCGTCAGGCAATTAATTTTTCTATAATATCAAGCAGATGTTGACTGCCAAAAGTGTGTCCGGGAATTTTGATATCTGGTTTAAAAAATAAACAGAAGCATTTTAAAGTTCAAGTAATGATTTTCTTCCACTGTGAATTACGTTTGGGCCTGTAATTTCAAAACTAGAGGGAAATAAGAAATTCCCCGACACAATTTTGGCAGTCAACATCTGCTTAATATCATGCAATAACTGGATTGTTTGTACAGCTAAATGGAAGCGCGGGTAATTCACGCTTATGAACACCGGTCAAATTGTGTTCAAATGGCCGTACGGCTACACATTTTATTTTCTTGGGACAATTATTATCTGACATGTTTCTTCAATCTATAGCTTTAAATTGATATATAGGTTTGGGTACTTTACTCTAAAAATGTGCGCTTGCGAGTCCTTTTGCGTAACATGGTCACGAAGGTTTACAGTGACACTTAAAGTGATCCGAAGTTAGCGTGTTTTCATGAACAGCAGAACGGTCATACATGCACAATTACCATCCTTTTAACAAGTTTTTAAAAAGGTTGTTTGTACATGAAGACAAAATCCCCTTCAGAGGAGCTTCAACAACGGCCATCCTGATTTTCTGTTCGTTGTAGGTAAGTTCCATCGAACATGGTCGTAACAATAAATGCTGGCGGTTGTCGAGAGCTGTAGGCCGTTGGAGGAGGTTCGACTGTACTTGACGATTTTCTTTTTTCTCGTCACCTCCAGTAGGCTTGGTAACGAAATTATATTATCAAACGAAATTGTTGGTTTTCATCAAAATTACAAAAACTGTTTGCTTGTATGAAAAACATCAGAAAATTAACAGGTAAAAGAACTGGTAGAAAGAAACGTTTTGTCCAAAGTATAGCTTTGTAACGTTTTTCATAACCGAGTTATTGCCAAACTAATTTTCAGAAAATTATAGTGTTTAGTATGCCGCCGCCATCTTGGTGCCCTTCTCTGGGGCACCAACATGGTCGCCATAAAATTGCACAAGAAGTAGAGTAGATTCTACCGTCAATATCATTAGCTTCCATTTCAAATCTGTTTAGACGCCACTTCTAAATTATTATCACGTCTGAAAATTTAAAAATGATATGAAATATCCGTTTTTTGTGACAGTTCATTAACACGTTCATCCGGGATATCACAAATTTCAAATAGCTTTATTTCCAAAAGGAATCACTGGATCGATACCAAACTTTGAATAGAGATTAAAGATTTCCATGTCTATATGATATAAAAGGAATAGCTTTGTAGGATTAACAGTTTAGATTTTAGAATTTTGATGACGTCAGATGAAAACAAAGAATTAGACTCTGATCATTATAAGTAGACGTGATTCTCCTAACTAGTTACAGAGGCTTATCCTGTCTTACCCGACGTGGACACACATGCCAAGAAGTTGACAATATTGGGATGTTTGTCTCCATCCAACGATTTGCCCAACTCAATTTCCTGTGCTAAAGATTCCTTCTCTGGGTCAGAACTGTTATCTGTAAAAGAAATTGAAAAATATCGTAGAATGAACGCTGGAGAAGAAGTTAGAATTCATTCCAAATCGAGAACTGACTTAGTTAATTCCTCTGCAATGTGAATGTTATTTTCTCTTACGTACATACAATGATGTAACGACAAGCTGTTATTGCGCCTTTCAATAACAAGGAAACTCTCCTCGGTCAGCGGCTACGTTTTTCGCTGCCGTCAATCGTCTCAGCGGACGTCTCAGGAAACAGAAGTTCACTGGTCTTCACTGGTTTCAAAGGCCACGTCCATCGGTTGTGGGTTTTTTCGGTCCATTTGGTTCGTTCCTTTTTTTCAGGGTCTGTTGTTTGTCGTCGTAATTGTGATTGACGGCAGCGAAAAACGCAATCGTTTGTAAGTTGGGTACTTTTGAACTTCAAAGTTCGCGTGTTACTGAAAGGCGCAGTAAATTAGTCCGTACGTTTTAGTTTCTTAACAGCAACTGTTGTTTCTCCAGGGAACCCCTTCAATCCATAAGCCACAGCTTTCCACACATCACCAAATGCACCGCTCCCCAGGACGTTTTGGAGATCGATTTGTTTTCGCGGAATTTCCCAACGTGAGGCGGTTAACGAGAGGTATCGCGTGTCTGTTTCGCTTAAATAGCGAGAGAAACAAAGGTGATCAGTTCTTATTAGGGTCAGTCAAGGGTTTTGGGTATACGTTACACAGTCGAACCCCTATTAAGCGGCTAGTTATCCCGGGAGGGGGGGGGGGGGGGTACTCCCTTATATACGATATATAGGTACGTGCAGGGTATAACAAAAGGCGTTTTTTGGTCTGGAACAGGGTATTAGTATGTTATGGAATAGGGGTACAGTTTCCCAATTGGCACGAAGATCGGTAATTGATACTCCTGGAAGAGGGTAGACGAAGTCTTCTTCGTTAGTCAGACGAAACGAAACGCGTAGGCCGTATTAAAAAGAAGCTTTACAACTACAAGTTCGTAGTGCTGCTTACTAGCTTAGCCCTTTGGGTAAGAAAAAAATCGTTAAAAACCGTCTGGAACAGGGTATCTTCTTTTTAACACTTAGTCTGGAACAGGGTCGCAAAATTAGCGTTTTGTGGTATGGGTCAGGGTAAGGGTTTTTATAGCCCAGCAGGACACCTCAACACAATTCTTTTGGGAGTACTCCCCGGGCCAGTTATCAAAGTCGCGAACCCCGCAATAGAAGGTGATGACTGATAAACAAGTTATTGTCGTCTTGACGTGCTTCCGCAACCTCATTCGCAGGGTATGTCTTCTTCTTCTTCTTCTTCTTCTTCTTCTTCTTCTTCTTCTTCTTCTTCTTCTTCTATTAAGCGACCAACCAATATTGAACGGCCATTTCCCTGAGGATGGCCGCTTTTAAAATAGGGGTTCGTCTGTATATATACAGGGAGTTTTTAAATTGGGTATAACGGTATTTTTAAGCTGATTTGGTATATTATAATTGGAGACAACTCAAAAAAGATGATGGGAAACGAAACATTTTATGGGGATGGGACTAGGGACTGTTTTCCGTCATTGATTCGTAAAAGCTTACCTATCAAATGCAAGATTTTCAACATTTCCACGAGGGCCGTCGTTTGTTAGAGCTGGAAAAGAAATATGTAAATATGTTACCAACTATGGTTCTCAACATATCTGTATGGTACGTGAATTCCGACCACATGTTAGCATTTTTATACTTTCCATATGAAATATCAGGAACCATTATCATCCCTAAATGCCTGCTAGTTCTATAATCCCATCTGGATTTAAGCAGCCTTTAAAGCCCGAACCAAACGCAAAAGAGAGTTGCTGAGAGTTGGCCCTCACTCTAGTCGGCTATCGTCACCTCGGGCCAAGCGAGAGAGTCGTTGACGACTCTTAAGACAAATTTGAGCCGTTTTGGGGGGTTAGGTTTTTCGATGAGACGCACCAGAGTAGGCTCGATTTCCGCCTTCTCTAGTCCGGTCTTCGTTCTTCATGAGCGTGGGCTCATTTTCCCGAACAGCGGCTGGTAATCGAACCTACACGAGAGTCGATGAGAGTCACTGAGAGTGCGCGGCGAGTGAGAGCTTTGACTCAGCTCAACAACTCTCGTCCTCGTTTGACCCGGGCTGAAAATTGAAATATCCATTCTTATCCTGCATATTTTATTCTTGTTTTTAATAAAAAAAAATCCATTGATTAGTGCAATAGCTTGAGTAAGTTGAATGTTTAAGCAGTGTTTAAGCAGAGTACATTTTGATATAACGGAAAACGCACCTCCATCGCAATTATGGTAATTAGGTAACGCCGGGAGGCGCGACCTGATGGTTGGCGCCCTGGACAGTCCGGATCGAGAGGGCCCATTGTGTTGTGTTCTTGGGCGCATTACACTTACAGTGCCTCTCTCCATCCAGGAGTATAAATGGCTACCGGAGAACTGGTATGGCAATTCAACAAAGTGATGAGAAGTAGGTATGCGATGGACTAGCTTCCATTAACCCTATTCTGCCTGGGGGGGGGGGGGGGGTGGGGGGGGGCAGAAAGTGCCCGCGCTGACTTCAAATTTATCGTACTTAAAGAGCATTCAAGCAATCATAGCCAAACTTTATGACTTTTCCTAAATATTATCTGGGAACATTTTGTGTGCTAATTTTTTGATCACGTGACTTGATGTTTCCATGGCAACCAAGTTTTGACAGGCCGTTTTAGCCAAATTTGGTATTTTCGGTTGAAATGTCCGTTTTCATGAGATTTTCGCTTTTTACGAAGAGTTTCTTCCAAAATCTTTGCAATTTTTGCATCCTTATATTGTTTTCGTTATTTTCAAATCAAATTTGGTGATTTTCTGTCATTTCTGAACAATTGAAAAATCCAAGATGGCGGATCCAAAATGGCGGACAGGTTTAAAGTATGACGTCATTATGGCGTGTATGACGTCATAATTGACACGTGACTGCCACTAAAATAAAGATTTTCGGATGCTTTACACACCATGTAAGTTTCATTTTCATAGCGTCAATACTTTTCGAGATACATAGGGGGGGGGGGGGGGCACTATCTGCCCCCCCCCCCCCCCCAGGCTCAGGAACGAAAAAAAAGCCCAGGCAGAATAGGGTTAAGGATGTAATATTAGCAATACTTTGTGGTTGCCTCGGTAGCTCAGTGGTTAGGGCACCTACCAGGCCGGGATCGGGGTGTCGTGGGTTTGGATCCCGCTCGGGAACTTGATATTTTACAGCATTTGTTATTTTTCTACAAAGGCATATCAGAGTTTACCTCTCTGATCGATGATGAACATTAGCAATACCCTTAGCCGCTTTATGCTGTAGAACCGTAGTTAAGCCCTTAAGCTCCAGGCCCCATAAACCATCTCTTGTAGCTCCTCTGATTACAACGGACTTTACCTTTTATTTATAAAAGCTTATAAAAGGTAACGCATGATCATACCTGAAACTCGCGTCCGGTGGTACACAAAACAGAGGACGATACTCAGGCAAAGAATGCTAGATATGACGCCCAAAGCGATCACTATAGCGCTGTTTTGACCTGTAATATTCCCAAAGAACAGACAATTGTTACAACAACAACAAAATGAAATCATTAGTAAACGACTACTAATACTACAAAAAGCTCGTTTCATTTACACTGGAAAGTCAGTCAGTATAGGGGGGACGCGCGCTCTGGACACGATGTTGACCTTTGTATAGCGGAGTTTTCGTTTTCGTTGTCGTTGTCGTTGCCCTCTTGGTTTTGTTAACCCTATTAATACCGGCGGAAGGGGGGGGGGGGGGGGGGGGGGAACTGCCCACAGAGACTTTGGCTGCTAATATATATATTTTTTATTGAAATAGAAGCCGCCAAACTTTTCGAGTTTACCTAAAGTTTATCTGGTAGCAATTTGCTATGACATGTCATTGTTCACGGAACTTGCTGTTACAATTACAGACATCAACACTTAGACATCCCCTCCCCCTCCCCAGTCAGAAAAGATTAAAAAAATCCTAACTGTTTTTTAGTATTGCAGTCAGGGTAAAACCCGCCAAACGTTTTGATTTTACCTAAAATTTATCTAGGGACGATTTGGTATGCCATGTGGATGTCACTATTCCCGGAATTTGCTGTTACATAGCATTCATATTTGACAGGCATATTTTCCCAAATTTGGAATATTTGATTGGTTTTGATTTTTTTAAAGTCATTTTCAGAATACAAGATGGCGGGTCCAAGATGGCAGCTCTTCGGAAATCATGACGTAATTTCTACGTCTTATGACGCCATATTCTCGTGTTTCATACATCAAAATAAATATTTTTGCACGTACTATCTACCTAGACTGTTCACGTCCCTCTATTTTTTGCGTTGAAATCGTCGCGCTGTCACGATCGATCGTGGAGCCGCCTTCTTGGATTATTTGGCGAGCGAAATCTGGGGAGAGGACAAAACACCCCTGGGTACGGGGGGCGGGGCGCGGGGAGGCCCTCCCCGCGCCCCGCCCCCCGTACCCAGGGGTGTTTTGTCCTCTCCCCAGATTTCGCTTGCCAAATAATCCAAGATGGCGGCTCCACGATCGATCGTGACAGCGCGACGATTTCAGCGCAAAAAATAGAGGGACTGTGAACAGTCTACTATCTACCCTCCAAGATTCGTTGTGGTAGCTTTAATAATCTTTGAGTAACGGAGGGGGGCGGGCGCAATTCGTCTCCCCCTCTCCGCTCTGAAAAGAACAATAGGCGCCGAGAACGCCTGCAGTATGACTGCAGAACAACTGCGGTTTAGCTAGCAAACTAGCTGGGGCCTTATTTTACAGTAATTAGATATTAGTCTAACTAGTGGTTGCTTACCTCTTACTCTCAAGTTATAGGAAGCTTGTCGTAGACCAAATGAGAAATTCGCTACACAAGTATACATCCCGGCATCGGAAGTAGATACTTTATCGATTACATGGTGAAACCTGTAGTAGGCCGATTCTGACTCTGCATCATACGAGAAATTAGCCGTCTCAAGGATCTTTTTGGATCTTTCTTTTACCCATTGTGCAGTGACGGACAGCTCTGTGTCTTTCAAAACCTTACATAATAATTCAACTTTATCGTCAACCGCAAACGTCACGTTTTCCGTTGAGATGTACACGGCTGATCTGTCTGTGGCTGATGTCTTTGTTCCTTGTGCCGTTGTTGTGGCTGGTTGTAAACGAAATAATCATCGATCACTTCTACATCCGACATTAATTAGTTTATTTTGCAGCCGAGACACAGCAACCGTCCAGTGGCGAGCAGAAGTAACATATATATGTAATATGTCAAATACTAGAGATAGGGTTTCATCCTATATCCAAACACGGAGACTAAGTTTAAAGGGACACTGTCCTCATTTTCAGCATGATTATTAGCTATTTTTGGAAGCTCAGAAACATATCTGTAGATCATAGCTGTAGGAAGCTGAACAAAGCTGAAGTTTGATTCTGTAGAATAGTATTCGAAAAATGACAGAAACCCATTAGGCAGTCAGTTTTTCAAAGTTTCAAGTTTGGCTCGGAAATTTTGCAAAATGTTGTTGCAGTATGGAATTTCTTCGAGAAATTGCTTTTTATCATTTAGTTAGAGTTTATTAAGTTGTTATTCCATAAATTTAGGGACCGTTTCGTGCATTTATAACAGTTTTGAGCAAATACCCGAGACAGTGTCCCTAATACGACGCGCAGCAAAGTAATTCGAGTTGTTTGGAAATCGGATGAAACACTGTCGGTCTTGTTTGGCACAATCGAAACAAAAACTAAGGATTAAACAGAGAAATAAAATCGTAGTTATGATTTGTTTTGTTTTACCTGATGAATTATTAATAAGTTTGAGAAGGGAGAGTGAACACATTGGGTCTTTTCTTATGAGCGTACAGTGTGTGATGAACAATATCTTTTTATATTTTTCAGCTAAAATCTTTCTTGAAAAAAGCTCACAAGCTGCTTACGTCTTACTTTCAACATATAGTAAGCCAGTCGTAAACCAAACCATAATTTCGCTACACAAGTATACATGCAGTAATCGGGTATTAGTCTGCGCCAACCAGTTGGTAAGTCATGCCAGTCAATATAAGAGATCCGAAAGAGAAATAAGTGGTCAATTATAACGCTGCTTACCTTCTACTCTCAAGATATAGGAAGTATTTAGTGAACCAAATGAGGAATTCGCTACACAAATATATATCCCGGCGTCGGCAGCAGATACTTTATCGATGACATGGACTAACTTATTGTTCGACGATTCTGACTCTGTATCATGATGCGAGAAATGATTCGTCTCAAGGATCACATCGGTTCTTTCTTTTATCCACTGTGCAGTAATTGAGAGCCCAGGGTTTTTAATCAAGCATATTAATGTGACTCTAACGCCAACCGCAAACGTGTCTTTTTCCGTTGAGATATAAACATCTGGTTTATCTTTGGTTGGTTGCTCTGTGGAGGCTAGATTGAGCTGTGTGGCTAGTGTAGTTGCTGTGCCTGTATGTAAACGAAAGAAAGATCGATCACTTCTATACCGGACGTTAATTCGTTTCTTTACTGTTACGGAACCGTTTCAGTTAACAGGTATAGAGCAGGCAGAAAGAAACTCTTGTTCCAAATAATACCTTTGTAGCGTTTTTCATAACCGAGAACGAAAATAATTTTCAGAAAATTACAGTATTTAGTATGTAGCCGCGCCATGTTAGTGCTGGGACACCAATATGGCGGCCATAAAATTGTACACGAAGTGGAGTAGATTCTACCATTAATATATATCATTAGCTTTCACTTCGAAACTCTTTAATTACTTCTCAATTATTATCACGTATGAAAATTAAAATACACGTTTCTGGTCGTTTTTGTGACAGTTCAAAAACACGTTCTTCCGGGACATCGCGAATTTCAAAATGCTTTATTTTCGAAACTAAGCACTGGATCGATATCTAGAATATGTGAAAAAGAATAGCTTTGCAGAATTAACAGTTCAGATTTTAGAATGTTGATGACGTCAGATATAAACAAAGATGGCTGTTTTAGTCAGCTGCTTAGTACGTACGCGATCAGTCAAGAACAGTATTGGACGAAAAAGACGGCTTTGCATCGAAATAATTCGAACAAAGCCGCAGAAAAATTGAGCAAAGTAAATTTGCTTTTGACGTCATAGTTTGACGTCATCCTTGCATTTCAGAAAAAATAGAAATAGAACAGGTTTGTGATCAGTAATTTTGAAGCAATTGGACACAATTCGCCCCAGGCAGCTACTCGGCTCGCTTCGCTCGCAGATTTTCTTTAGGAGCCTGATCTCAGGCTAATTACGTACATATACTGCAATGTCTTCTAAGAAGTCTTACATACTTTAGTAGACACTGATCGGGCAGCTTCTAATGCGGCAAATCCGTGAATCTGATTGGTTCTCTAATTGTTGATTATTCGCTGATGATAGACAATGCCTTCCTAGGCGTCACCATCGTCTGGTTTATTTATTCATTTTTAATTGTTACTTTCGTCTTATTAATCTCTTACTTCATTTGCATCTTAGGATCACGTTTTCTTTTACCGCCGTAATATTAATTGAGACGGCAGCCTTTGATAATTCTTGCCGTCTTCTTCGTTACCTGCAACCAGACGTCCTTTTCACTAGGAAGAGTAAGGCCTGATTGCAGAGATCGTAATCGGCGAGAAACAAATCGGCCAATCATTGACGACGTGGTTGGTCTACAGAATTGAGTTTAACATTGTTTACAGCATCATGCACTGAAATTTGTAAGCCGATTTTGCCTTCAGTTCAATATTTCGTCTGATTATAGACTTCGTGATTTAATTCATTTGTTTGACCCTATTCTCTCTATGCCAGGCTTCTGTCGTTTGCCGCTGAAATCGTAGCGAGCTGAAATAGCCCACTGCCCACTGCCCATCGACCGGTCTAACTCAAAATGTTGCGTGGGCTAGTTGTTTAAACACCTCCTTAATAGGGATGTCTCGAAGACATGACAGGCCTTTTTCAGACTATGTTTAGCTGTTTATAAACTCCCAGTTGCGTGCTAACTATAGCTATGTTGGAGATGGCTTGCAAGCTTGAAGTTTCTCTTCTAGATTGGCTCCCATTCTATTCGGAAATATTGCAGATATGTTGTCGTAACATGTAGTTCCTAATTTTTCACCATCATATTGAAGCTTTTATTCTATAAATTGTAGAAACTGACATTTCCTGCATGCATTTCAAATTACT